TAACTAGATCCAAAGCAGTCTCCTTTCCTATTCCAGTGTTTGCCCCTGTTACAACAACAGTCTTGCCTAAAAAATGGTATCTAGAGTTAGCATAAAAAAGAATTCCCAATCATTTAAATTGTAGTCAGTCTCCATACAAGCCTAAAAGAATTTTCAAAATAGAAAATAATCTCTTGCACAATCCAAGAAACAAAGTCCCACTGGTGAGAAAATGCCAACACTTTATAATTTAATACAGCTCTCTCAATACAGCACAATCAGGTGCGTAATGACAGATGTTTGAAATGAGAAATCACAGTTTAAAAAATTAAATAAAAACAATAACTTGTTTTCCAAAGTGTCCCGCCAACTGGTATAATGCTCTTTGGCTAAACATGACATTAAATCATTAGCGAACAAGAAGAAAATTTTTTACTGCAGGAGAACTTAAACATGAACACCCTTATCAGAATTCTGCTCTTAAGTATGGACAGAAGAAAACTACCTTCGAGGTAGTCCTGTAGGAAATAAAAAAAGATGGTGCCAACAGAACTTAGATGATTTTTGTGATGACACTGGTTATTGACATCAACGCATCAGCCTTAACATAAATGAAAGCAAAACCCTTACAGTGCGTACATTAAATTAAATTATCTCCGCAATTTACATTCACTCTTACCATCTAATCTTGCCTTGCTTCTACACACTCCTCCACCAAAATACCACTTCGTAAGCACTACCAAACAAACTGTTACTGCTGTGAAAACCAGCAGTCTTGAAATAATAGTTTGTGGGTCAAGAGATTCACCTTGTGTTCCTCCTTGAGAAGAATACATCAGTTTAGCCGTGTGCCGATAACACAAAGGAAGCTTCTACTGACAATAGCTTTCTTAGTTTGCACCAAACAAAAATTCTAACCCACCCACCTTGGGGCAAAGACAGAGAAGGCCAATCCAACAATTGACCAAAAATAAAAGATTACTCGATAATCCTATATTATTCAGTTGAATTAATAGTAAAAAACAACAACAAAACAAGGTCACGCGGACAAGCCTTCAAGGTCAAGTTATCTGTCACGCTGGGAAGGACGATCGTCAGTTTTTTGAAAATTGATGTTAAATTCGACTCTTCTTAAGTACCATTTGATTGAGAACAAACCTTTGTCTATGTTTTCACTAAAGGTCACCAACACACAGCAAGAGAGCCAAAGGAAAACAACCGCTACCAGTAACTTGGCCGCCATTCTCGTTTTAACACTAGCTCTTGTGATAAACGTGACTACTCACAGGCGTCCCAAGCTCCAGCTGTAAAATGATCATCTTGTGCAAAAAGAGTCATGGGAAAAAATAATAGAATGGAAATATATACGACTGCCCTTAGGAATAAAAAAACAGTCAAATTCTCAATAAAAATACCTCACCTTACTTTCAAAGAGCATTACTTGTTTTGTTACCGCTTACTTTGTTGCAACGAGGTCCTTTCAGTGAGTTATCCATTTCTAGGGTTAGAACCCCTGAGGGAAGGACAAGGCTGCACACCGGCCGATCCGAGCACAGGCGGTCCAAGCTCCAGCTGTGAGATAAAGAACAGATAGAGAAGCCATTTTAGTGAGTTATCCATTTTAGGTTTACTACGTACATATAAAAAGCTTCAGGGCTTTTCTTATGTACGTAGTAAACCTAGCTAGAGATGGATAACTCACTAAAATGGGTTCATTTCAACAAAGTAAGCAGTCAGATAACAAGCGATACGCTGTGGAAGTAAGGTGAGGTATTTTTATTGAGAATTTGAATTATTTTTTTAAATTTGTTAGAGCAGTCGTAAATATTCCCATACAAACTCTTGTAATATTTCGCCATGACTGTTATTTCGCATGATAATCTCACAGCTGGCGCTTGGGTCACCTGTGATCCGAGAAGCAAAAAATCCAATCTTAAAATGACCAGGCGGCCTCAAATCTAGCGCAGAATTCAAGCACATTTACTTTAGTTTCATTTCGAATCACTAACAACTCTATCCTCCCCATGAAACCGACGCTAACCCGCAGTTTGCTTCCAAAATGTCCCAGTTTTGACGTTCCTAACGACTCGCGTACACGACCGTCAAAGTCAGCTCGGTAACCCTGACCTGCAAACCTGATTTCTTCCACTCTACCCCTCTTGTTTACCTAGAAAAGGTGGGAGAGGGGGGAGGGGCAAAGGTGAGTTTACAATTTAACTTTTTAGCATCTTGATTTGGGATATCTTTGTGGGCTCAAAGTCTAGAGTAGGGTTCATATTCCTTGGGAAATAACTTAGCTGACCTCCTGTGTTGAGGCCTCCATGCTGTGCCTGGCGAGCTGCTGACTGACACTTGGTTGTCATATGATCACAAGGTTTTATCCATTCAATCATTTCAGTTGTTTTTTTTAACCCTCTCTTCCACTCCAGGGACTCTCCTCATTAAAGATGCCCAAACAGATTCCCTTTTGTTTGCCGTGTTGTGCAAGAGGGGTGTGACAGGAATAACTGTGTAAGTTTCTTCACCTCTGTGCAAATATATGAATTTCATATATCTAAATTCATTATTCATCACTTGGATGGTTTATTTGGACCCAACATATTGACCAGCACCCAGTTTACTTGTTGGCTCAGTTGGTAAAGCGCTGCACCGGTATCACAGAGGTCATGGGTTCAAATCCTGTACAGGCCTGAAAATTTTTTTCAGGTCTTATTTCAACTACTAGTTTAGTAGTGTTCTTAGCTGCAAGGATCTCTTATATTTGTTTCTTCACCGCAGTGCAAATGTATGAATTTCATATATCTAAAATCATTAAACTTGTAAGTGTTATCAATGGGCTGGTGTGTGTAGTACTGGCACATTTTTGAAGTCATTTTCTCAATACACTCTTTGGAGAATACTAGATGTCATTCTACCAGATCTCTATGCTACAGCCTACAACAGCTCTATAACTTTGGTCATGTCATGCTGCACCAGTTTGGAGGGCCTAAGCTGTAACACAGTACCAGGACTTCCCCTCTTGATAGAGAGTCATTTTTGCTAACTCATGGAATGATTTGCTAAACTTTATAAGGCCATCAAACTACCTCTTAGCTCTCATAAAACATTATGACCTAGTTCCTTTCATTGATGATATTACAGTTCACGTGTCTTAAAAGGCTACGCAGTTGTACTAAGCTACAAAGACAAGTTAAGTTAACTATGAAAATGCTTCACTAGAGTTTAATCTTTCCAGCTTTCTCCAGTGATTCTCTCACTAACATCCCACAACTTCTTGGCCAAACCAGGATCTTTAGCCAGTTTGTTAACCTCTTTGACTTTACAATCGCTGTAGTAAAGGCCTGAGACACCCTCCAGCTCTTCTGCCACCGAACAGTAGATGCTAGTCTGTGCTCCTTGCTTGCAGTCTTTGAAGAACAGAAACATCACTAGCATTACAAATGGTCGTATATAAGGTTTCTTCAAAACTTCCAAGTTTCGCCAAATGTCTGAACTGACAACACCAGGATGAAGAGCATAAACTGTCACTCCAGTTCCTAGGGGGAGGCAAAAAAACAATTTAAAAGAGCCCATTTACCAGAGCTAATAAACACCAATAAATTCCTAGACTCTCAGTGACATCTGTTAATTGAAATATAATATATTTCCACAAAGTAAATTTCAAGTTGTAGAAAAGGAAAAGTTTGATAACAAGACATTACAATAGCACATGTGAAAACAACAACCTATTTCTGTGGTATGATTGGTGATCTGTACTCCAGAACATGTAACTCACCTTCCAGTCTTCGACTCAGTTCCTTTGTGAACACCACCTGGGCCAACTTTGATTGAGCATAACGTTGAAATGCATCAAACTTTTCCTCAGACAATTTAAAATCCTCAAGCTGGAGTTCAGCATTCCTTCCTTCATGTGCCTGGGATGAGACATTTACAATGCGACTTGGTGCTGATTTCTTCATTTTGTCCAACAGAAGTAGAGTCAGAAGAAAATGACTGAGATAGTTTACTTGGAATACACTTTCATATCCATCTTCAGTCAACCTGTAATACTCCCCAAGTCCTGCATTGTTTACCAGTATGTCCAGTCTTTCTTCAGTTTCATTGATGAGCTTGGCAAAGGCTCTCACAGACTCAAAGGAAGACAGGTCAACAATTCTAACATGGACTTTGTCACTTCCAGTCTCTGCAATAATGTCCTTTGCTGCATCTGTGGCTCTCTGTTCATCTCGGCAAGCCAAAATGACCTTAGCACCCCTCCTGGCAAGGTCTGAAGCAGTCTCCTTCCCTATTCCAGTGTTTGCCCCTGTTACAATAACAGTCTTACCTACAAGAAAATGGCAAAGTCAGCAAAACCTTGGTACAAATTTGTAACTGATCTCTGTGCAGAGGTATACAGATTACATCAAGCAGTGACAGATATTTTATTTATTTTTGTTGTCAGTCTTGCTGAAAGGCAGCATTTTAAATAAACATAAATTGTTGTCATATGTAAATTAAACTGTGGTATCCATCCTGAGGACTAGCTGTCTTGCACTGAGATTAATTTTATATTCATCAAAGTATAACAGAGATAGGATGAACTTGAGCTTAACCCAAGCTGTCAAAAAGCCACGGCAACTGAATGTTCACACATCACTGTTTTACAACAGCTATAAAATAATGATTCTGTGAGTTTCATGGGTCAGTAACCATTGTTAGCTCAAGTCTGATCCTGTATAAATTTCATCTGCACCACAGACATGTTGGCCAAGTAAATTTCTCACACTAGGCACAGTGGTATCAAGTTAACTCTCCACTTTGAAAAATTTGCTATCTGTGGCAAATTGACTCAAGCGTTATGTGCAGTGTCTCAAATATGGAACTTTAACTGTTAAATGTTAAACTTACATCATGTGAAAGCTTACATCTTTTATTTTATCATTTTTTGGTTTCAATGATGGAAAAATTAAAAGTGCACACAAACAGGGTGAAATCCAAAGAAAGAGCCTTTAATGTCAACAACTCACTTCACCACAAGTAGCAAGTTTACTACAGCTGGTGGTGGTGAGTTTGTTGTGGTGGTGAGTTTGTTGTGGTGGTGAGTTGATTGTAAACCTGCTTAGTGTATGTTTTAATCTTTATTAACTCTGCTGAAATGCAGTCTTACCATCTAATCTTGCCTTACTCTTGCACACTCCTCCACCAAAATGCCACTTAATGAGTCCCACCAGACAAACTGTAACTGCTGTGAAAGCTGCCAGTTTTGTAGCAGTACTTTGGGAAGTCAATGTATCTTCTTGGTGTGATCAAAGAAAAGAACGATTGTAAGAAAAATGACATTTCATTACACTTCGATAAAATACTCATAATAGCAGAGCTCACAGAGCACAGTCCCATAATTATACAAAATAGTAGTAACCCATCAAGCTGGAAAAATTTGGATGTATGACCATACAACCGACCATACAAGGTGCTACTTTTAGCATGCACGGCCAACTGTACCATGGGCACTATCTTATAATCAGTCCTCTACACAGACACAGAGAAGTTGCGAATGAAAACCATTAATATTACCATAGTAGGGGCTTTAGTTTTGTTGAAGAGACGTGCAGGAAAAAAAAAATGCGAGCTCCGCTTTTAAGCTTGCCTAAATCTATATATTAATAATAGTAATAATAATAATATTTAATATTTATATTGTACATTTTCTATAAAAATAATCAAATGCACTCTTTAGACAACATAAAAACCTTTTGAATTCTAAAATACTTTGAGATGCAAGCATATGAATTATGTGTTGTGTTTCAATTTTTTCCATATTTTTTTTTATTCAAAACCAGATTAACTTTGATCTAACAGGTCTTAATTGGTTCTAGATCTCTTAAAAACAATAAGAGACAATGAAATACAAAATTGGAAAATTTTCAACTCAAAGAAAAATTTGCATCAAAGCAAAGACAAACATTGTGATCCAAATAATTTTTACTCGCCCACTCTTTCTTATAAAGTGCAATTGCATCCATGTTTGAGTTATTGTTGTTAAACCTCGAACTAAGTAGGGGTGGGTGGATGCAAAAAACTTGCCCCAGAAAAAACAATGTGTCGTAAGTCAGCATTTTCGCAACGCTCAGTTGTAAAGTAGGCGTTTTCAGATGTCTCCAGATGAACGAAAGTTTTTTGAAAAGTTATTTTTCACTGGAGAATTATCTGGATTAGAGTGAAACATAGACCCAGTCAAAAGAGTATTGTTTACTCCTGAAAAATTAAGATCTACCCAATTCACAAATACAACGTAACCCCATCCAATGTCGTCTAATTGAGCTTCAGGTATCTGTGCTTTAATGGGCCCTCGATGTATCCGAAAGAAATAAACTCTCAGAACATAACAAAATGTTTCTGTCTCCTAATAACGAAAACAGCTACCAACGGATGCCACTCGTCGCGCCGTTTTCAGCTGTTATAAGTTGGAAACTTGCAGGGACTCCTGAGATAATTGAAGTACATTTGTGAATAACAGACATAAATACAAACCTTTCATGGTCTCTTCACCTAAAGATACCTTTAAAAAGCTGGAGAAAAGGAGGGCTACAGCACTAACCGACAGATTCTCTATTTCCGTTTCATACCATGACAGCAGGGATAACCGAAACGGACTGGTAATAGATTAGTCTCCGGTCTCTCTTTATCTGCGCGGTTTAACGCACAACAAAGGTAAAGGTGTCAGGGCGTCTTAACGTTAAGAAGCTCGCGATTGTTTATTCGACTGACCATCGTTTGATTTTAAGTTGGTACAAAATTATTTCTCTCTCCAACCTTCTTCTGCTGTAAAATTCAAAGATGGCAGCTATAACCAAGCACTCGCCTGCTCTGCAGGCTGGAACATTTGTTACCTACAGGTTCAAGGAATTGAACGCACAAGAGTTTTACCCATATGATTAAAAGCGTATAATTGATTAGATCCTCACAAAAATTATTTAATTGTTCCTGTCAGTCGATAGTTGACCGCAATAACTCTGATCTAATCAATGAGTTGTTTGACTCCTACAACTACACTTTGGACCGGAAAGATGTGGTGATTCTGTACTCAAATTTAGTCGTGCAACCTTGTCGCGTTTTTCTTGAGTCATGGCAACCAACGGTTCTGGATGCAAGACTGTGCCACGTCTAAGCAATCTTAGCATGCAGCAAGTGAAGGCAACGACACTTTCAACAGAAGTACTTCTCTTCCTCCCAAATGAAGTACTTCGGGATTTTTGCTGGATAAATTCGAAACATAGACGATACATTATCCTCATAAGCGATATTCCCACTAAATCCGGCGAGATGGAAACATGGTCTCTGGCGCGATTTGCGGTTATCACGCTTTAAAGAGGGAGTATTTATTTGGCGAATATCAAACAGTGGTGTCTCTAGACCAACTGGAGAGTGTAACGTGAAAGAACTCAGTCCTAGTAAAAGAAATTTTGTCCTGAATACAAAAAGTTACCGAAACAAGACTGGTAGATTTGAATGAGACAAGTTGTCAAACTGAGCAAACACGGACAGAGGCTCGATAATACCAAGAAATAACTCGTTTGAATTTTAAAGAACAATCACTTCCTTGAGCTTAAATTTACCAGCGAATTTCTTTAATTTGCACAAAGAGAAACAATAAGCGTGAAGATGGTTATACAATTAGGAAAACTACAAAGACAATCATTTTAGTCCTACTGGATCAGAAAGGCAGTTCGCCAGTTGTTTGAATTGAACTCTCCTGGGAAAGGTGTAAAGGACAGGCCGAATCCTACAGCCGTGGAAAGATTCACTCTGACGCTCAAAATGAAGACCTACGGCCATGATCTTCAAGATGAACCATGGCCATCAGGTTTTGACAGCCTGCGATCGACTACTTGAAACATCCATGATCAACCAAAAAGATAGCATTGCCTGCTCGATATGCGATCACACTGTTACACTGACACTTCGGCATGAGTTACATACGCTGCCAAACATAGGCACGGTCAATCGCGATTATTAAAGACAACTAACAACATTTTTTTTAAAGTTAATTAACCTAGATCGCTTAACATTTGCATGAAGGACCGGTGAGAATTATCTATCAATTATTTTGATATTAAAACTATTTTTTTCTCTTTTTTGAGTTTGAATAAGTTCGGCATCGAAAGGCTTAAAACAAAATACACGATGTCATCGGAGACTTATGCGGAAAAATTATACCACGTAACTAACTCTGTTTACCATGGTCTATAAGATAACTTTCGTCACAGCTTTTGCTGCTGCTTAGGGACTCAGTAATTACCTCGGTGCAACTATAAGGAGCAGATTTAGGGGAAGTGAAAAGTTAGGGAAGGTACAAAACTTTGCATTAGTAATGATTTCCTGGAAAATTCTCCGCGACATCTTTGAAGTAGCATTCAGAATTGGTGTTAACATTATAAACCGAGTAAGATTTTCAAATAACAACGTACTTTGTCATAGCAGCTGTTACTTGGAAGATGGAAACAATAGCGAAAACAATAAATCTTCTTTGGGGACCAATGCTTTGCTACAGAATAGTATGGGATAATACGGAATCTTTCCTCAAATGTTTCCCACGCAAACTAAGAGGAGTTTTGCCCATTTGTTTTGCTTTGAAATTACTTTTCTAAAACACAGATCGCAATGAGGCAATGAGATATTTGCAGCTGAGTTCCATGTCCCAGGTCCCATGTCCTTTCGTGATGTTAAACACGATTAGATTCGAGGCATAATATGTAAAATGTAGTGATAACAGAACTAGTTTTTATAACTGAAAAAAATCCACGTGGTTCGCAAACGTCGATACTAAACCCAAAAACGTTTGGCCTCGTGTTGGCAAAACAAAATTGAAACACATGACGTAAAATCACCTGACTAAGAATTTGCCAGATACTTTTTTCCATTGCGGAATATTTGGAGATAAAAGCAATCATTTCTAATTAAATAAACCGAACGGAATTTTGTCCATATCGTTCGTTATGGAGCATCTAATGCGGGCGAAATTCAAGACCAGATTTGCCCCTGGTTTCTTATTTACCTCAGAATGCAATGGTGACCATTGTACTAAACTTCGAGGATCTTGGCAAATACAACCTTCGAATACACCAAACAAATACGTTTTCCTTGCGACGTGAAATCCGCAAATGATTCCGCGCTGAAAATTTCCGTCCTTAATCGTGGATCGAGAATGAATAAATACAACGGGTGACTCTTCAACCCGAGTAATAAAAATCTGTCTTGCGATGTAACCTGGTTCAACAGCCATTGCATAGTTTGGCTCAACTCGGAAGTTTTTGGATGTAGCAGATACATATATCTTGAAGTGAACAAACCATCTCCTGTCGGAATTTTTCAGAGAAATTGAATATGTAAAGTACGATTAACGGTAAGCATATTGCTAAGCGTCGCAATGGAAACGTGGTATAATTGTGTTTAATTGCTTCAGTCGCTCGTAGAAATAATAGCAAAATTATGTTCAGCTACAACGAAAAATTTCGTTACCATTGAAAAGGAAAAACATTAATTTGTAAGAATAAGGCAAACATTGGGGAACAAATTCGCAGCTTGTTCCATGCTGCTCTGCTGCCATTCATATCACGACAGTTTTGAAAAAAAAATTTCACGAATATGACTTAAGAAGGAGTAAACATAAACATGTGTACAAAAAAATTATATTATTTTCATTATGGCAAATGTGGGACAAACAGACCACATTTTCTACCTAAATGTAAGGTCTTGATAAACAAAATTTAATTAACCGACATCATACCACAAAGCTACAAAGACAACTTAAGTTAACTAAGAAAATGTTTCACTAAAGTTTAATCTTTCCAGCTTTCTCCAGTGATTCTCTCACTAACATCCCACAACTT